GAGAGCTGGGGGGCTGGTGCCCCATCCCACCGTCTCTCCTCACAGCCCCCCGCTCCTGCAGCGTCCGTGCCTGCTCCATGCTCCATGCAGAGGTGGCTGCTCTGTTTTCTTCAGGGAAAGGGAAAAGGTCCCTTTGCTGAGTGCTGAGCTCGTTTTAAAACATTTACATTAGGGGGGTTGGAGGGAGGAGAAATCCTTGTGTAATGGCTTAGGAGCAAGGGAGCATTCCAAAACCATGACTGCGCGGCCCTTTCCAGCACTAACAGCCTGGCAGCCAAGGCTTCCCAGCCACCCCCCTAAATCCAGCTCAGCCTCTCCGCACCCCCCGTGGCAGTGCAGCCTGATCCCCGGCTGCTTCGCGGGGCGCATCTGGGGAGTGGGAGCGGGACACCGCTGGGAGAAGCGTTCCGGTTGGGAGACCGGAGGTGAGGAGGCAGTGGCTTTGCCTGGCTGTATTTCGCTGAGACCAGTTGCATTTTATTTTCATCTTTCCAAGTGCTTTTTGGTGTCCGAAGAGTTTCAGTTTATGTTCAGCTCCTCCTCAGCTACGTAGTATGGCTAAAGGCTGTGTGGGATTTTACGGACCTTAAACTGAATCCATGTTCCTGACGGCTACAGCTTCTCCAGGGAGACGCTTTTTTAAGTGGAAAATAAGCCGAGTCACTATCTTCCAACAGGTTATTGGGAGCGTTTAACCAGGCACGCCTCCCAGCTTGCTGTTTGCACTGGCGAGACCTATAGACATGAAAAGTAAGGAATGTACTAGCCGATACGGGTTGGCCCTGGGCAGCAGCAGTCAGGCATGGCCCAAGCACAGGCATCACTGAGGCTGTGGCATGTTATTTGAAGCTTTCAGCAAGATGCTTGTGCTCCTGAGTCTGGGAAGGCTGTCACTTCCGCGGGAGGTAAAATAAGAGCATGGCATGGTGTCCTTTGGAAAAGGAGGTAAGGGCAGGCAGCCTCTTCCCACAAAGCACAAGCACTGTTTAGGCTTGTCCAAGCTTTGTTTAGGCTTTAAAATTCTTCTGTTCCAAGTCCCTTTCTCTGTTTTGCTTGTGGATGTTGCTGTGGGATTTAGCGGTGAAAACAAGCCAGCCCAGCCGCTGTGCTCTGGGTCTGGGTCCTTTGGTGCAGCGCTGGCGCGTGCTGGAAACCCAGGCTGGTCGTGCCTGAAGGATGGCTCACGACTTCCAAAATATTTACAGGATCTGAAACTGAAGCAGTGGGTTTGAGCTCTGTTTTTGATGATCGCTCGACATTTGCCCATGGCACATCTAGGTTAGGAGCGAGCTCCAGGCAGCTTTCCCAGGGGGTAAATGCAGATGTTTCCTCAGTGCCGGGAGCGTTGGCAGGAGGATGGGGGGGCTCAGGGCAGCGGGTGCTGGTGTTGCTGGTGGGTGTGGGCCATGCTCTGGGTATCACTGGTTGCTGGCGTGAGTGGGGGCTGGTCTCTGTGCTGCACAGAAATGCACAGCATGGCCTGCCCCGGGGAGTACGTGACCAGCGCCGCTTTGCTCATCTCCAAGCCGTGATCCCCCCGCGGGGTCCGAGCCCGAGGTCTGCCCTGGCCATTGCGTTTCCCTTTGGCATCGCCCTTTGCTTCAAGACCTGTTTGGAACTTTTTTATGCTTCTGTATGTCCCCTGATGCCCAAGAAACACTTGTCCTGTGCTCCCCTGGCTGTGATTTGGAGGTCTCAGCGAGTTAAATTCCCCTCGATGGGCATACCTGTCACATCTTACTTTACATATTTACTTTCTTTTTGATGGCACCAGCAATTGTCATACCAGATAAAACCATTTCTGCTGCCAAACACCGCTGTGGGGCTTTCTGCTGCTTATGCAAGGGGCCCGTGTGCCTCTGCCGCTCTGTCCCCCCACTCCTTTGACCCCCTTCGGATTTAACTGGGGTCAGCTGCTGCCTCGACACACACTTTAGTGGCTCTTGCTTTCCTGGGGTGCCCCTCTGGGGCCCCATCCCCAGCAGCCTCGTGCGCGCCGGGCCATGTTTAGAAGTGGAGACGGATTGTCCTTGGCTGCACTGGTTAGGAAACATGTCCTCTGTTCTCTGCTGGTGTTTCATGCTCTCTGGATGCTGCGAGGTCCCTTAGGTCTTGTCCCTGTTATGTGTTGCGCAGCCCGAACCCGAGGCGTGTGTTTTGGGGTTACAGAAATCCAGTGAGGTGCCCGGTCTGTGCTGCATCAGCCCAGCCCCTTCCCAAACGAGCTAAATCAGAACAGTCCAACCCAGCGCTTGGATGCTTTTGTTCGTTAAACCTTCGGGAAGTTGCGTGGAGCTGAAGACACAGCAGTGCCGGGAAGATCTCGGTCTGTTCCAAGAGATGGTTTTCCTTCTGTGGTTGTGTCGCGGTGCCGGGGGTGACAGGGCTGCGTGTAGGGCTGCTTGTTCCCAGAGCCTCGGATCCGGTGGAGCGACCAGAATGCTGCTGGGGCAGGGAAGTGTTTTCTGATCATCCGACAGCGTGTAAGGAGATGCTTGGTGGTAGCTCTGCAAGGCAGGAACACGAGCCCCGGGTCCGGGGCCGAGAGCTGCTGGAGGCTTGACTCTCCTCACTCCGCTCTCTGCGCATCCAGGACACGGGGGTTTTGTCCGGAGTGGGATGTCTGCCAGGCCCGGGGGCTGCGGGGAGCTGGCTCTGCCACGCAGGCAGCGCTGAGGGGGGTGTCCCTGCGAAAGGGCTGCTCGCAGCGTGGCTCCAGCCCTACCAGCCCTGCCCAGGCGTTGGGGTTGTGCCTCCGGCCAGGGCTGTGAGCAGAGCCGAGATCCAGCTGGTTTTGCTGGTGAGTGGGGCGATGGGTGCGGCCGCCAGCAGCAGCGCAGGGGATTTCTGCTGTAGAATAACCACACACCCCCCTCCTCCCCCCCGTTGGCTCAGGGAGCTCGGGCCTCGCCAAGGGGGTTCACCAAAAGATTTCAGTCCCTGTTGCGATTCCTCCAAAGCGTTAACATCTTTCTCTGCCGTTTCCTGAGATCCTGTAGCAGAGGATGATGGGCGCATCCTGCTGCCAGAGGAATTCCCCGTTTCCT